TCCACATCTGACAGATTTAAATGGAAAAAGATGTTGGCAACTATTGTTATTATTTGTATATATTTGTGTTCTTGCATGAGGTTATGCCTCTGGCCCTGGGTCACAATACAAACGATTGCATATAGCTCGTCTGCTTTTATATGTTACTGAATAGTCATCAATAATATTCCTTCTCGTTATCTGTTGTCTTATTCAGGACCTGAAGGTCACCATGAGGTTTGTACTCTTTGTAGGAACGGAAATATGATGTGAGGGGAAAATAAGACAGAAAAAACAAGAGTATCAGTAAAACTGATGAAAGCTCCTCGTAAACGACTTATTGGACACAAATCTTTACAAGAGGGCAATAATCCTGTGATTAAGGGGTTGCAGACACTAATTTTTGGTTTACTGCACATTCTTGGACCAATGTTTCCACCCGGTTGCTTTTGTATGACTGAGGTATAAGTTTTCAATATCCTAGTTTAAATACAGGCAAAGTAATGCTCCAGACATAAACTTTTAACAAAGGGCAGTAATTCTGTAATGGAGGGGCTGAGGTCCCTGAATTCGGTGTACAGCATATTGTCTTAGTATGATTAGGTCGAGGGCCCTGAATTTGGTACACTGCACATTCCCTTAGTAGGACAAATGTATACACCAAGTTTCCGGACCTTACTTAACTGTGGGCAAAATTATGATCTAGACACGAAAGGACTGACTGACGGATGGGCGGACAAGGCAGCGACTATATGCTCCCCTGAAATTTTTCATGGAACATGAAAATAGATTCTTCTGGATATTACGTCATGACGTTCATTCTGAACACTGATTTTGCTCCATCGTGTGTACAAATTGTATAGGTACGTTGCAATGTCAAAAGAAAAACGCAATCCTAAATCATTTTTTTTTTTATTTGGGCTTGCAATTAACTAACAACTTCTGGTCTACTACTTAAATATACAGCTTAACTATGACCAGCACACAATATGGTTATTTAACACACTGCCGGACTGCTTAACACAATTCATGTCTCAATACAGATTTGCATTATATAACAAATTTTTGACAAAAAAAACCTTTCTCACACCGTGTGTATAATACGCTTGGTTAAATCCTGTTAATGATTTATTTCCCATGCAATTGATTTCCTGAAAAATAGTTATCTGTGTTTTAATCTTTGAAAAAAAATAGCAGGCAACAGGCAATAATGATTGCAGTTGTCATTTTTATAGATGTTATCGCATTGATATATAAAATTCCATACGAGTCCTGCCATTGATCTTATTAGAATGAATCCTCCATGAAAACAAATTAATCTACAGTACCTATAGTACCGTCTTTACTTTTAAAAATGCACGGTTCTTATGCATTAAAGTATGCCAGCTATCGAGCAAGTCGGCATAACACCGAATAAATTTACAGGTTTTGTATACAGTCTAATGCACAACTACTTGTATTTCATCACAATATATAGCAAAACAAAACAATGCAAAACAAAACAAATTCATTTCTGTCGGAAAAAATGTTTAAGACAAAAACAAAACAAAACAAATTCGGAAATGAAAAGTGAATATAGTCAAGGTGTGGTAACACCTGCGGGATTTTTAAAAAAATCTTTTGCTATTGTCACATTAAGTGAAACAGAATTTGAATAATATGACGAATTGTTCAACGTAGCGTTATACAAATTGAGTTGCTTTTTAAAATAGTTATCAAAACTTGAATACAGAAGTTTATGTTTTGTTCAAGTGAAGACAGGCCTTTCTCAGCTGACTGAGTAAATATGCAATATAGTTCCTTAGATCGCTTATAAGTGTTACGCTTGCTTAATAGGAAACTTCTGGTTACTTCCTATACAATTTCAACACGGCTTAGCTTACATTTCAGCAGGTCAAAGAAATTTCATCGATATTCAACATAGTCTAGACAGCTTAATACCTGTCAAAACGTTTATTTCAAATAGCAACATTTATGTTTGTAAAGCTGGCTTAATGTATATACCGAACAATTCTGTAAACATTTGTGACAATGCCTTACAAGATTATAAATAAAATGTTCATACTGTAAGAGAATTGCAGGTATATTTTCGTTCACTGTACACGGAATCTTTTATTCACAAATGATGGAAAGCGTCCTATGGAAATATTTTCAGAATATCTTCTGAGAACCTACAGGCATAACTTTTGAAATTCAATCACTTAATATTTCCAAAGTAACATATTTCATGGACATGTGTACATTTTAAAGTCGACAACGTATAAATTCGCTAATAGAAACATATCTCCAACAGTTCGATAAAACTGTTGTGCTATATTTTTTTCATATTAAAAGAAAAAAAAAAGAAAATTGAACTATTACTAAAATAATATTTCGTTAGTATAACAAATATCTAAATATTATTTTTTCTTAAAGATTTATTCATTTCATTGTGTTCATGATGTTGATTTCACTGGAATTTTGTTAAACAAATAACTTACTGCAATGTTTCATAGACGCTGAAATCAACAGTTCCAGCAAATATCTCTTTCTAATAGTCAATCAATTCAAAACTTATTTAAACCCGATAATACAAACGTATCTAAGACACTGAATACCATATACTACCGAATAAGATTGTTTTTAGAATACACGGAAATCTTTCATCGGGAGTAGGTGTGTACTTATGGAACATAAAGCTGAGTATGAGCAGTCTTCAAATATTATTGCGTTTTACAAATTACATATTGCCTAGAGAAACTTAGAAAGAATAATGTATCACAAATTATGAGAATATTAATGGATGATGAAATAAAAGAAAGAATATGTTTGTTTTCAATTATTCAAATCACTGGTGATCTCCATTTCAATACAAACTAACACCTATTAGATGAAATAACACCCCATAAATAATTAGCCATTCATAAGCCATTATTAATAGACTCACCATTTCTAAAACGTTTGTGATATGAGCCAACACACAGGTCGCAAATTTCATCCTTTGAGACAGCATCATGTCATGTCAGATAGATACAGTATACGTAAGCGAGCTAGATATTTGATATGAAATAAACTCTGGAATGCATACATAAATGTCAATTTTGAAGTTTCTGAGGATTGTATTTCATACCACACGTTATTTGACATTATTGGTATGAAATTGTTCCGATTACAATACCATTTTATATTGTTTTTATACATGTTTACGTGATGTTAATCTGGACTTCATTTCATATCAATATACTAGGGAAACCCGTAATGAAATCGTATATCTATACTTTGTAAAGGCGATAAATCGTTAACAGGCTTTCGGCTTTCTGAATGCATCACATTTTACTCAATTTGTAGGAAATATAATTATCGACATGCTTTTTTCTCTATTTCGTAACATTATATTACATAAACTGTCGAAAAGCTCATCTAAACACATGTAAGACGAGATACAGTTATATTACACTGCTTGATTTGTTATACATCAAACTTTATATTTCATTTTGATAATATCCACTGCTTAAAACATACGATATATTATAAATTCTCTTTATGATATATCATTGATTGCTTCACAGAATTGCTTTCTTTTTTCTGCATTTCGAAGGTTTGGTGACGTCTGTTTGCTGAATCACGTTACTAAAACGGTTGTGTAACTCGAAATTTTAGCCAACACCATCGTCCATTATTTTATTATTTTCTTACATTCAAATAAAGACTTCTTACGTTTTACCTATTCCTAGTAATTACAATCAATGTGAACATCATAAAAATGACATTCGGATACATTCTTGAAGACGATTTAGCTGTGAAAGAGAAAGGTTTTGACAAATTACTTTTGTTTACTGAATATCAATATCTGAGTAATCAGTTTTCTCTGAAAATAAATTCCAGTGTGAGGAGTGTATCTGGGATTAATATACAGTTATTAATCTACATTAACATGTGTGACAAATGACAAGATTATTGACTGTGAACATACATAACCAAAACAACTTAATCAAAGTAGAGAAAAATATGACACATATCACATAAACGCTTGTTAAATCCATATAATACAAACATCCTGTTGCTATGTCACGTCGAAAATATTGATATTGATAGAAAGATGCCTGATCACAGGTGGTACATCTGAAGAACATGTAGAAATTTACCGATGTCATATTTAGTTTGTTAGCTTGTCGGTATGAGTGAGTGCTGATATTGATAATTTAGAAGAGAACACCAAAATTTTCTGTTCTTCGAAAAAAACAATATACTGGATAGTAAAATACATATGTCACTCTCTCAGAGTCGTTAAAGTCATGAATCAACATATATCTTTTAATATACCTATGTCTTTTGTGTTCCTAACAAGATTGGCATCTTACCTCCCTTCAAAAGTAATATAAAGGCGATAATGTTTGCGCACTTGCTGAAATAGTAAAAACATACAAATGAAATGATTGTCGAATTGATTCTTAAACTTACTTCCTAAGAAATTACAGTAATTTATAGGATGTTATTATTTCTTTTTGAAAACTTGATAACAAACAACTAGAATTATTACAGAGTATTAAATATTCCCTTTGTATGATTCCAGTCACATCCAGTGATAACATGATTAAGTATCTGTCACCTATAAATAAACGTTAGAATTATAAAGATTGGGTAAACCATACAACAATGTAATAATATAGCAATCTAAAAGCACACATCATATGAAAAAATAAAATAAATATGCTATTTTATAACAATGACATTACAAAAATCATGACTTATTTCAATAGCTTCTAACACAGTACATGATTGTTAATCAATACGATGACAATTGTTAAAACAATCTGAACAATTGACTTACGTCTTTATATGTAAGATTATCAACTTCATGAATAAAATAAAGCTAGTTTTAAATAAGGTCACATATAGACAAGTCTAATTCTACGTAACTTAAGTAGCTTCCGCCGAGTACCCGCTTAAATGATTATCACAATAATCATTTTAATTTTCTCTTTGGCAACCACCACCATAAGCATCACAAGTAACATTTATCACTACAAATTATTCAACAGTTATCTATGCGTTATAGCATGATATACGGCATCCATTTTATTGGCAAGGTCATCCATCTTGGATTCCATTTCGTTTATTTTATCCTTCATGTCTTTCTGTTTTTCCTGTATTCCCTCTACCATTTCGTTTACCTCACTAATCGATTTTGCCACCTCAATGAATCCTATCGCGCTTTCACCAATGCATGCCTTTTCATTTTTCGCTTCTCTCATATTAGCGATAGCTTGCAATAACTTTCCGTGTAATCGTATCCGCTTCCTGTCGTCATCGGCATCCTGACGGCGAAGTCGCCACAACTGTATGACATACTTGATAGTATCAGCTGCTGCATGCTTCCGTTGTTTGTCCAGCTGAGCACGTGAAACAAAATTATGGACGTATTTTTCAGCGCGACTTTGCTCGAGTTTTGAAGCCAGGACGGCAACAAGGAGAGCCGTGGTACCGACACCCATCAGCCCTGTTGCCACGGCAACAAATCTTCCACAATATGAGTTTGGGTATATATCACCATAACCAACAGTTAGAAACGTAATAGCAATCATCCACATGGCATTGAAGAAGCTTGAATGGGCCTCATCCGGATGATAATACACTTCACAAGTGCGCATGGCCCATGTATCTACTACTAAAATTGCAAGCATGATACTGACCAAGACCGTTCCGGGATTAGATGACATTAGTGCTTTAAAAACAAACGCTGTGTTGATTTTGACTTTGTTTAAAGCACCAAGACTTTGAGTAGCAGTGTCGGTAAGTAAACGACTGTTTACAACCATAAACTTACCGACCAGATAGAGGCGGAGCAGCATTAGTATCGATAAAATCGGATCAATGGACACCATTTTGGTTTTTCCATCCGGATTTAAACCTGGAATTTCAATACTACTTGGGAAAGGGTGTATAGCGCAGATAAGTAATTCGGCAATAATTTTAAGGTACGTCCACGGGAAGGAAACTGCAAGGCGCCAATCTTCTAAACTGTTGTCTGTCATGTGTAGCTGTATTCCAGTCACGTGATAAGCTATAATAGCCATTAGCAAAAATACGGTTGAAATTGAAATACAAGACTTCAAAATCAACGAAATGGCATCTGTTTTAGTTATTATCTTTTGAATAAAAAGTTCCGTCTCGACCAACATAAACACAATACCAAAGAGAGCCAGGGTAAATTCAACGCTTACTACATATCGGCGTCGTTTTATCAGCTTCTTTCGTCGACTCAATCTGTAACTGATGTTGTCGAATTTTGACACCGGCGTCAAATTAGAGACCAAATCGGTTTGACTTGTGTTGTCTTCCGCCATGTATTTGTTGTACTTCCCGTTCCGCCGATCTACAAGAGGTATTCCGGGATCTTCCACTAGTGAACTTCCGGTCATTTTACTCTGCAAAGATAAAATTCAATGATAATTGTGACAATTGTTACAAGAAGAGTTTCCTCCGACGTACCGTCATCCGTTCTGTATCGTTTTATAAATGGAAGCTGGAAAGTTTCCCAATTTTTGGTCCCTTATTAGCTACCGTAACAAGGTTAAAGAAATATATCTACATCTTATTCAGGGTGTCGATGAAGTGTTTATGCACTTTCCACATTTACTCGTCTGTGTACCGTTATTCATATCTGTAGATTCCTTGTGTTCTCGCATTGATATCTCCAAGATCGTTTGTAAGATATACAATCACAGCTTGTCTGGTGAAAGAAAACATGTGCAATATGTGTATATATCTATTTCAGTTACCAAATAACAGTTTATCATGTAGAGAATAAATAATCAAAAATAAAAATACCGCCCATATATACAGGTATATATACAATGACAAATACGTGACTGTATAAATATTTACAATTGTCTTAAATGATTAAATTGAGCCTTGTTCTAGTTATCGGGATATCTAGACAATATCTGTTTGATAGTTGTCTTTGATATTCAATAGATTTACTTTTATCACTTGAAACAATTTATGTTAAGCACAACGGAGGGAACAGTTGCATTCAAGGAAATGCAATGTCTGTTCTTTTCTTTCATAGATTATCTTATTCTAAACACAATTGTTGCAAGACGGATGTCACATGGTATCTTAACTCTCCAGAAAAAGAAAACATGACACCGGGTAGCCGACCTAACACTTAATCCATATAGAATTGTAATCCGATGTTGTCAACGCGAGTCATTGTCTTATAATGCATATCAAAATATGATATATTTCATATCAATTTCTCTGATATCTATATCTGCTTCTTATTGAAGCAGTCCATTTTAACAATTTTTCGTAAAGATGTTTCAGAAGATGCCGACATTCTCAACTTTTAAAAGTAATCCTTTCCACTTTGATTCAATTTTCAAAATGGGTCAACAAACAATCATAGCACAGTAGAACCTGATCATCTAACTAGCAATATTTCCGCAACCCATTGTCCTTTCGAGCGGTGTACCACACAGTTCACTGCATACGAGTAGTTTGCGTTTGAGTCCTGGTCCCAAACTTTTCTTGTGACTCTCACTCAAATTCTAAGAATCATTTTTTTTGTTACTTTTTGTAACTGGGCGCTCCAATTTTTGGGAAATGATTTTCTCGACTTACCAAAAAACATCCTGATTACAAGTAGATATCCGAATAGGCCATTGTTAATCTGCATTTGGTAGTTCACGTGGCATACAGAACATCACAATTAGGCTTTGATCAAATTCAGCAACAACTGGCAACTATATATAGTTTGTCAAGGACGATGCACTATCACGCGGTGTTCTTCAAGATGAAACAACAAATACAGGTCATCTAGGTAGTCAGATGTTTATCTTTATGCAGGATTTACAGCTTCAATGATCTCAATTTTAATTATGTGTAAAATGGAGATGTGTTTAAAAATATCGTATGATAGTGCTAATGTTATACATATGATCGCCCACGCACAACAGATGTTATTTAACGGTTACATGACCTAGACAATATGTTCAATCGTCATGGACCATGGAGATCAAGTGGTATAGGAAAATGAAGTTTCATGGCGGATTATCAATATTGTTAATTTCATGCAGTGTTTTTTTCTCTACATTTCGGTCATTGCAGGTTTCAAATTGTTACCAAAAGATGTTCATTTTATACCTTGAATATCACTTATCTTACTTTTTGATGTCACATGTAACTGTAAATGATAGGATTCATACAATATCATGTAATGTATACCAATGAAATTCAACTACCGTTCGTGCCTTCCACAGTAAATATTTCTGCAGGTCTCCGATACATATATCAATATTATTACTTTTTCAATACTGTCTGAATTCGATATAGCTAACTTGGACGATTTTTTCCATTGCGAAGTTTACCAACATAAATCATAAGCGATTGGTTGACAGCAGTTATTGATAATAAGTCAGCAACGGTTGAAAGTATACTCTATTGTTTTCATGTTAATCTTCGTCGGGTGTGTTAATAATCGTGTCGACCCCGTGCTGTCTATTAAACCAGGATAAATACAAACCCAACGGAACATCTGTGCATGGACATTTCAAGTCCAGATTAAAGGAAATCGATTCTTTTTTTCTGTAACATTTGACGTTTTGAATTATGGATTACCTACTGCACATGCAGCATGGTAACTCTGACTTGTTTTTTTAATTCATTTTTTAAGAATTATTTTCCTGAAATTGATTAGATAATGCAAATTGAATTTACGTTGTACGTGGGTAAAATATATCAAAGATTTACATGAGCAGACTGAACCATCTGGATCGGTATGGATTTTTAAAAAAAACTGGAAAACTATGAAAAAACATCATGGTTTGATGAAAAATAATCATGTTTTGATTGAAGCTGTAAACTCAAAATGATAATTTAGTATCGTCTTCTCGTGAGGGCTAAAATGCTGTAATTCCGTTCTTTATTTTCTGTTATTTAAGAAGTTAATATCAACATTAATATTTATCATTAATATGAACGGAAGCCAGAAATAAGCTGAAGTGATATTTTTCTGCGTCCGTTAGGGATATGATCGATTCGTTAATGCAAATGTACCAAAGACTCATGTTTTACGTATTTTGTATCACAAGTAGAGACGATCGAAGGAGATGAAATATCCACCTTGCAGAAATAAATGTTTCACAAATTAGCAAATGACAAAACAGCCAATTAAAACATCTTCAATTTACAAAACGCTGAAATATAACGTTAATGTTATTTTACAAGTCACCCATATGGTATCTAAAGTTCTCTGATGATGTAATACGTAATTTAACACACTAGCCAGGACATTTCCAAACGTGGACCAAAACAGGAAGTATCAAATGAATTTGTACGATATAATGTACTTTTGTGAAAAACCTTGTTCAACATAATCTGTTTCCCTAGAGCTTCCCAATGAAATACATATATACCAATTTGTTATACTATTTCAATATCATATACGATTTATAGCAATTTATCAATAACTCAGCCCCCAAACTTCCCTGCTGTTGACACTTTTGACAATCTTTATGTAATTTGTCATATTACAAACATTAAATCGAGGTATTGTTTTGGTTTTCTATTGCTTCACACCATACCCTGATATACGGTCAATTAAGGAATATGAAATAGAGGGAAAACATACCACATCGTGCCTGTAGCATTTAAAGCATTATTTCACAATTTATTTTACTAAATTTAACCGGCTTTACATTGTTAGTAAAACACATCGTGTGGAAGATTTTAACAATGCATTTCCATTAAGTAAAAAAAAATAACAAAGTGATAACAACAGCAATCACAGTATTGTTACAAATCACTGGGTTTTGAGCGGTCATAGCTGACTGAGTTCATGTCATATTAGAGTGTTGATATCACTTAGCTTTTATCAACTGACATGAATGATGGAATTGTTTCAGTAATAGTTTTGTTAGAAGGAAATTTAAAATGAATTGATTTTAATGATGCTTACGACGTGCTTTGAACGCGAAATCAATGGATCAAGTTTTATCAATCTGTGTCGAATGATTTATGTCAAAAGATTACGAGGGAAACAAACAGAGGAAAAAACCAGTTTCATATCATTCTATTTCAAACATTTTAGCAAAGCTTTACAAACCATTTAGATTGAAAACATGTTTCCCAATACAGCGATACCCCCCCCCCCCCCTGATCGTAACGAATACAAGATTGCATCGCTTGTCCCTCGATTGTAATTGTTATCCCATTAGGTCTCATAATGGAATGACATTTCATAAAATCAACTGTACCTTGTGATGTCATAATTTATTATCTGGATACCTGTATCTGACCCCTCTCACCTAAAACCATCCCCTACATTTTTTAATCATTAACTCAAGTTTTTGATATATCAATAATACATTTTTATGCAGTATATATAATCCATCTTGTAAGAAAGATTCCAAGGGCGTTTTTACGATATGAGCCGTCTAGAAATAAAAAGAAATCAAAGATTTTTAAGAGCTTGTCTAAACAAACTAGAAAACTTGTTTCAGAAAAAAATATCTTCCATTTGTGTAAATCATAGTGATGGACCATAAAAGCGCCCGTCAATTGGCCCCATTGCCCATGGACATCACCCATGGACATCACTCATGGACTTTACCCATGTCCTATTGCCTCAGTGATTTTCAGTTGCGAGGATTTAAATCTCAAAGCAATTAAGCAAATAAACAAATCTTAAACGATACTGTACAAATATACATGTATATGGAAGAGGTTTTGCCATTCTATTTAAAGTTTCCTTTATTTTTTCATTAATGTTTACGCATTTATTTTTCAAATCAAAAATCAAAAGCTTAAGTTAACGAAAACAACGCTTGATTACTCAACGTTTTGTATTAAACAGGTGATATAATGACTCCATGTACCACTTTCACCAGCAATTTAACTTGGTTTAGGGCATTCCTTCCACTAACAATTTAACCTTCTTTAGGGAATTCCTTCCAAGGACAACTTAACTTCATTTAGGGCATTCCTTCCACATTCATGTTAACTTGATTTAGGACATTCCTTCAATATACAATTTAGCCTGGTTTAGGATGGTCATGTCATGATAAATTGTTGCATTTTTTCCAGATCATTGTCTCTTTACTACCATCTTTATGCCGATGCATTTAGTGGTAAAATGGTTGTGCATTTGAATGATTCTTGTTGCTCTCAAAACAAAGAATTGTGTGCAACAAGTAACTTTTAATGAAACAAGGAACACAATCGACAACATGCTTCCAAATATCCTATTGTTAATTCCATAGTTGTTTGAGTTAAATGCGTGAATGCAGTGAAACAGTATCAATTCAACGTTCGTTAATTCCAAATATTTGTATAGTTAAACGCTTTAAGCCGTAATCTGTATTGATTGCTTTGTAATAGCTGAATTTTTAAGCATTAGAAAAAAAGAAATTCGAATCTGCACGTTAACAGTTGTGGTTTCAGCAGTTCTTTGTGGTTTTCAAAATTGGAAAGTTATTTAAAGAGCAATGCTGCCATGAAAAAAGACATGCAATTTCTATTAATTCTTTAATGCTATTATACCACTCCTTTGTTGTAACAATAGCCAATAGGTGCCATGCATTTCACTCCCTCTCATTGAATAATACACCGTACTTATTATACTCCATCGTCACAGAACTCGAACAGAATACTAAATCAACTAAGGTAGAGTGTTTGAGGACTTTGTGCATAATAGAAACACCAAATATTGTCGACACCACGCCAAACCTTGTCAAGTCCGTAATGTATTTTTCTGGCAAATTTGCATTGATTGCATTTCAAAATTGCGCTGCAAACAAGATGGATTGCAGGAACTATTCAATTCTAGATGTTCCAGATCAAGTCATGCACTCTTGTCTGTGTTGGAAGCTTTACAGCGCAAACCTTTAATGCAACATTATGATGGTTAATGAAAGCTATATTGTCGTGATCTTAAATGAAGTTCCAATGAGGAAATGCATAAATATTAGTGCATGTTCAAGGTATTCTTAACAGCTACCATTTGTGAAATCCGGATAACTGATATTTAGTGAAACGGAACAAAACCTAGAAGTGTAAAATTCCATTTGTCTCTTGTGAATTCTTTATTTAAACGAGGAAAATCAATTGTTGTATCAAAATAAAAATAAATCCTTATAGCCCAGACACTGCCGACGCACCACTGCCAGGTGCCAGAAGATGTCTTCTTATTTCATTATCAACTAGCATATTGTTTAGAATAAAAAGGTTGAACGCGTGACCTGTTTCGATATCTTAACAGTCTGTTTATCAGATATTTAGCTCATGACAATATTGATCATGCTCAGAATGAATAATGAATCCCACAAGTTTGATTAAGGATACCAGGAGACATAAAAACCATCAAGATCAGAATTTATATATAGGTATATCATTCAATTTTAGCCTCGGTCTATTAAAACTTAATATAATATTAGTCATCAAGCGTATTTTACAACTTGCATTCCATACCTTTTTAAAAAGAGGAACAGTAGGCCTACGTCACTCACAAGGTATTCAATTTGTTTTTGTTTGGTTTTTGTTTATCTTTCCTTTTTTTCTTTATGAGATATTACTCATCAATCTTTCATTCCAACTTGCATTCGTAAAACTTAAAAAGAGGTCCAATATGCCTACACCTCTCGTAAGTTTTTATTATTATTATTATTATTATTATTATCATTATTCAAAAAAACATTAACGTTATCATCATTCCAATTCAAAATAGATATATATCTATTTTATGCTATCTATTCCAGTTCCACGAACTTAGCATCCACATACTATGTTTGTAAGATTTTGGTTTATCAGAACATGTCATCGTTGGAGTGTTTGTAACAAGTTTGACCCATGAGATCATGCATATTGGCCAAAATAGTTTCTTTTCAAACATTTTGTCACGACATAAGACAACTAACGCAGCATTAGGAGATAAGCTTAAGCTTATGTAGTTTCGGTACAATAGGACAGAAAACAACTTTAAACAAATTGTGCTGATACTTCATTCTCTCTAGAGAGGTGATAGAATGTACAAAATCATGTTGGACACATCAATCTGACGTCGGCCAATAACTGTTTTACTAGTCTACGTATGTGTTAAAGAACTACATCACGAGAACCAATGTAAATAGATTACAAAAGGCATTGATTGATTGAATAGATAACCCAACAGAACGGAAAATGCCGGAATGTCGACCAATCCAGACACCCTATGTTTAGCTCAAAAAGATTAAAACAGAATCAGATTTTTATAAGTAGTGTTTAAAAACAGCCAGCTTGTTTATATATTTATACAACAGTTGAAAACTTAGCTGGTCGATTGACAAAGAGGATAGTCATTGACTTTCACCAGGAGACGGCTGTGTTCGATTCCCTTATCGAATAGGAAAAGTTATAGATTTGCTTAACTACGATGATTACATTCATACCCTTTGTCGACTTACATCCAGGCAAGGGGAGTGACCGGTTGAGGTGTACTGCTTGGGACCTACGGCAGCGTATGTCATTGTTGTAGCATTGTAACAAGGATGCTTAAATATAGCAGCCTCCCATACATTCGATACATACAATTATATACATCGGGACACCATCCTTAAATGACCCTATTTGTTGACGTTAAATAATATAAAAACCAAACTTAACCTTAACAACTAGTGTTATGTCATTTATGAATTATCAATATTGTTCCAGCCGTCTTAGAAAGGAAAAAGTTATTTTCAGGAAGGATTGTCGTTGAGCTACCAGTTCACTAGCTGGTTAATTCATTCGTTTTAAAGACAAAGAAATAAATTGAAGAAAACTTTTTTTTCTGACGAAATGATTTACATGCAAGTTGAGGTTCCTCAATGCAAATCTGTTTTCGTAATAGACGAAATACGTACGTGTGTGTGCATCTTCAACTATTGTCCAAATCTAACTGTAGGATTTATATCACTACAGCAAAACCCTTTTCTGCATGTCTCAGAATCCATTTGCATACAACATTAGGTGCAGTGGAATTTTAGACTAATTGTAACATATGCAGAATCGAAAAGGTTTTCAAAACGGATTGCACGCAAATACGTGCCCTATCGATTCCCTCACCATTAATCGTCTACTTTGTTAAAATGTTCGAACACTTTCATACTTCAGATTTTTGATAACCCTTATTTTTAGGAATATTAATGATCCTGTCCGGTACAATTTTATCATAACAAGGGCAGGAAGTATCCATAGATTTTGTACTTCAATATAAACAGAATCAAATACTGGAAACAATTTCCTGTCTGGACTTAATTTTTAATTGTAGGAGTTTGGCAAACATAAGAAAGTGTTGTTGTTGTTGTTGTTGTTGTTGTTGTTGTTGTTGTTGTTGTTGTTGTTGTTGTTGTTGTTGTTGTTGTTGTTGTTGTTGTTGTTGTTGTAGAAGAATACTGGAAGTTTTTGGTAGAAAAATGACGGAAACAGCATTGGTCTAATAAAGGAAACATATTGGCACCGATTCGGTTTATGACTCCGCTTATAAATTGCATATTCAACAGCTAAGGAACGTCAGTCATTGGTGTTGATTTTAGCCAAGCATATTCGTAAAAGGGGGCCAGCTGTGTGAACTCCTCCGACGTCATACAGTTCCCGGAAGTATCGGTAGATATGTCTCGTGGTTTCTTTATGCCCTCCGAATTAATAACACTGATGGCAGGCACATAAACTGACGGTATTCGTGTCTTCTGAAGAGGTCACAAGGGGCGACAATTTACGACGGATCAATCGATGGTGGTTTTCAAAATTATTACCAGAAGCTGTCAAAGTGCGTTCGTGTAATTTATTGGTAAGGTTATGAGGCAAAGACCCTATTTCTTAGTCAGACAATTCATACATTATATTGTTGCTACAAACGAAATAACACAATGTTTTAGCCTTTCGATCTTATGTGGTCTGTACTTATAGTGTTCCTAACAAGGGGGTCATTATGTAAGCATATCTAATAAGACAGTGTGTACTTAAAATCATTCCACTGATATTTCTATATTGACATTTCCAGAGTCAGACATTCATTAGTGATTGAGTTAGGGAGCGAGACGGACGATTGGTTGAGAAGGGAGAGTAGAATAGAGTTAATTATCGACTGTAAACCATATTTTCTCAAAGAGTTCGCAGATCATGTTCATGGCAAGATATTGATGTTTTCGCAAGTTCATATCTAGTTTCTTCTACAGGGTTATTGCTCAGCATATTTGTTTCTATCCAATACCGTTTTGATATGTTTACATTCTTTGTCGGTAAAATTTCACTTCTGTTTTTTATACCTCGGATGTCAACATTGAAAAGGACATAAATCTTTCAAGCTGGTAACAAATGCATACATTCATTATTATTAGTATGTTTTTAATTGTGCTGAGGACGGATTCAAGCAGATTATGTTGCTATTTTACATCTTGTTACAAACCTTTGATTTATCTGAGATTATCGGGACCAGAATGTATGTAGTGTTTATTAATTTTTGAGGAGAAATAATCAATTTTTCAGAATCATGTACAAACAAAGAGGAACGGAACAGGATGGTTTTACTCCCGTTGAACAATATGATAACAAATTTCGATTAAAGCCGGTTATTGACAGTTTGGTAACTGTTGTTTACTCTTACTTAAGGTCTTGATTTTGTCGATAATATAAGCGTATGTTAGTTATGTCTCCAGTCAGAAGCGGACGTCTGGGCATTGTCAAGGAAACAAAACCAAAGATGAAAGGATTTATGGAGAGCAGGTTGTGCCATAGACAAACCATCGCGCATAATGAATCGAAAGTAAACACACACTTCAAAAAGTCTCCTTGAAGAGTTTGGAGTTAGGCCTTCTATTAAGAGGCTCAGAATCAACAGCTCTAAAGGCTGATATCATGACTATGTACTTCACAGAGAAAACTAAACAACACAAAACTATATAATTTATGTGGGTAGTGCAAAAGTCAAAAAGGTGAAGAGTACCTTTCAATACAGTGTAAAAAACTGGTAAAGTCGTGTCCAACGATAACAGTACATAGAAAGTGGATGGTAATCATCAAAGCGTTTTCGGTAATTAAGCGTGTTACACGCTTTAAGATATGATTGCGCTAATGACAGTGGACTCTGTCTAAACCGGATTCTGTGCAATCCAGATATCTGCCTGATCCGGTCAAATGATTAAGTCGCAATTTCAGCAATATTATAACAATGGAATCTTAACAATACGGAACTCTCTACAAACCGGCCAATTTATTCGGTCCCAAAGGAGTCCGGGTTAGACAGATCCCACTGTATAACATTTGTGAGGAGTCATTCGTTACCAAAACAAAACTGAAAACGCGCTTAAATTTAATCACGCCAAATTAAATTCACTTACAGTATATGAACGATGGAACATTGAAGCATGTTAATAGTATTCCTTCAGACCGACAACTTATATTCTTCACTTCATACTATACTGATATGAATTTCCTCAAAGTACGTACTGAACAGTTGGTTATTTTCGCGGGGAACTTAATTTCGCTGCATTCGCTGTTAGTAAGGATTACGCGAAATTAAATAGCCAGCCAACGTTTTTACAGTGAATCAAAATCTCTGAAAATCTTTTATTCCTATCTATAGATATATATCAATGAAAATCGATAGAGAAACGTGAAATTAAAAAAAATATGAAGTAGTTCAAATCGGACAACCGCGGAAAATTTACTCCGCGAATAAAACAATTATACATAATATCGGGTGATATGATTCATAACTATCTTATGTTTCTAATGCAGTATGTATAACAAACGTGAAATGATATTAATCAACTGGCTCAACAGTCAAAACTCATAACAGGGGATTGAGTTCTACTCATCAATCGCATGCTTAAGAACCAATCACCGGCTTTGTTATAGGACTAGTACAGATGTCTGTCCTGGCTTCCATACTCGTGTGGGTTTGTTCTATTGTATTCACATCGTAAGTCAATACTCCCAAACTCCCTAAGTATAAGTAGATGATCTCCTTGTCACGTGATACGGATGATGAAATATGATTGTTCTAAAGGGATTTCGATTCCGTTGAAGAGGAAATGTCGTAGAGTCAAACAATAATCCGGATCAAAGATTACGCTTTCCTCGGTAACACCTGTCTAGTGGCGCGAGCTAATTAACGATATAGAGACGATACCTGAACAAATTAATATGTTTATGTTGCAATTGTAGTTGGTAATCATCCAACACTTTGTCATTCGATAGGGTTTGAGGTCAAATAGATTCGAAGGTAAACATAGGTATTTATTTACACAGGTGTGTAGAAACAGACAAATCGATAGTGTTGATTTGTAACAGGTACCTAAATGTGCGGTATCAGCTCTTCGCTTATTTTCTTTATGTGATGACTGTTTTTTACTTATTTAAACACCGTATTTTTTCACGATAAAACTTTGATGGATCATACGATAATTATTTTAAATACATTTAAGCAAAACTTGAATTGTACACAATAATCAGTTGAATTAGAGCGAAACAAAAGTAAACATACACAGGGAAAATACGATAATTTGATGCAAAACATAAAGTCGTTTCTCTTTTAAATAATTTCCGGACACATTCCAGGTTAATCTCGAACAAAACATAAACAAACCACTTATACAATTGATTTACACATATGTTATAAGTAGTAGCAGATCAATTGGATCAGAGACAAGTTCTAGCAACTTGTGTACTCTTCTTCATATCATATAACTAATAACTGAAAACGTTGACTTCATAAACATTACAATCAGGTGTGATTTTTTGTGATGTATTCAAGATGACATCTTCAAAATATCATCAATTTGTACATACAGAATGCTGGGGTTATGAGCGTTTTTACGCAGCATTGCACGATCCCGATATTTATATTTGCACTATACTATTCATGGGGATACGTTTAAATATATACTTTTTAAACATAATTTCGACATCCTATTCCTAACTCTGGCTAACTCAGATCGGTTTAACAACAAAGGTTATTTAGAATGAACAAGTATAGTGCGAAAAATAAAACTGTTGCTTTAAAACATGAACATTCAAGGTATATAAATCCGACCAGTCTCAATAAATCTACAGCCTAGATAAAGCGTCATCCCTGTTTTATTTTACTCTTTTTTGATAAAGCTGGACCTGATGGATAAGAGATATATGACTAACTAAAGAATGGTTGGAAACAGTAAAGTCCAAAACGCTTTACTCTGACGATTAATCACGTGCTCTGACGACTAATCACGTGATCTGACGACTAATCACGTGCAATTATAAAGCTAATGAACTTAGTCATAATTATATGCTTTTACATGTTAATTACACTCGCTTAAAGTACACAAACGACACTCGTGTATAACACTGATTATAACACTCGTTGTAGTATGAGAAGATCAGCTGTAAGTCTGATTAATACGAGTAAATTTGTCGGCAGAGACATCGTACTGATAAAACGGATAAACTTTTATCATACAATATCACCTGTAAAACATTACATATCAACGAACATAAAAAAGCATAA